TTGTTGCCCAGTCACCCAGTTTTGAGAGATCCTTTTGTAGCTCTTCACAGTCTGCCTGAGACTTAACTATCTTGAATAGTTTTTGTATCATCTGCAAATTTTGCCACCTCACTGTTTACCCCTTTTTCCAGATCATTTATGAATATGTTGAATAGGACTGGGCCCAGATAGGCCCCTTGGGGACACCACTATTTACCTCTCTCCATTCTGAAAACTGACCATTTATTCCTACTCTTTGTTTCCTCTTTTTTAGCCAGTTACCAATCTATAAGAGGACCTTCCCTGTTGTCCCATGACAGCATACCTTCCTTAAAAGCCTTTGGTGAGGGACCTTGTCAACGGCTTTCTGAAAATCTGAGTACACTATATCCATTGGATCCCCCTTGTCCACATGCTTGTTGACCCCCTCAAAGAATTCAGTAGATTGGTGCGGCATGATTTCATTTTACAAAAACCATGTTGACTCTTCCACAACAAAATTATGTTCATCTATATGTCTGACAATTTTGTTCTTTACTATAGTTTCAACCAGTTTGCCTGGTATTGAAGTCAGGCTTACTAGCCTGTAATTGCCAGGATTACCTCTGGAGCCCTTTTTAAAAATTGGCATCACATTAGCTATCTCCCAGTCATTTTGTACAGAAGCTGATTTAAATGCTAGGTTACAGACTACAGTTAGTAGTTCTGCAATTTCACATTTGAGTTCCTTCAGAACTCTTTGGGTGAATACCATCTGGTCCTGGTGACTTATAACTATTTAGTTTATCAATTTGTTCCAAAATCTCCTCTAATGACACCTCCATCTAGGGCAGTTCCTCAGATTTATCACCTAAAAAGAATGGCTCGGGTTTGGAAATCTCCCTCATGTCCTCAGCTGTGAAGACCGATGCAAAGAATTCATTTAGTTTCTCCACAATGGCCTTATTGTCCTTGAGTGCTCCTTTAGCACCTTGATCGTCCAGTGGCCCCACTGATTAACAGGTTTACATGGCGTGAGGTAAATAAGGCCTTGGGCAACGCATTCCATTAGGAGCATTGAAGAAAATATTGAACTAACTAACTATCCATTCAGTGAATAAGGCAGGGATCCTGTGGAAAAAAATGTGTGATCATGTAATTAAAGACAGTATCATAAAACACACACACAAAGGATCTGAATTAAGGTTGCACAGGCAACGTTAACTCTTGCATTGAGTGCTTGACTTTGCAACCTTAATGTCTTTTAAACACATTTTTTGGTTGTGATATATTTAATTTCAACTTGTATTATCCACCAGTCCAGGGAAACAACAAGGTAAATGACAAGCAAGTTTTGAACTCTATGCCCATGGAGTCCCTGACCATCCCAATCATTAATTTGTTTATTGTTCTCATTGAATGAATAAATATTTCAGCTTGCTTGCAAACTGGGAAGATATATAAAAATGTAGAAGCCAGCAATGATATTTTTACAGAGCCATCATCAGACTATAATCACACTTGAGGGGCCAGATCCTCAGCTAGTGTAAATCAGCATCAAAGGAGCTATATCAATTTACTCCAGCTGAGGATCTGGCCCAAGGGCTTAATTCTTGGCTCCAGTTTCATCTGCTGTGCTCTGCTTAGTTTATACAAATCTGGTCTAGCCAGCTCTGTGTTACCTATTTCTCCTAGCACTCAGCAAGAAGGGGCAGGGAAGGGATATAGCGTGGGTAGGAGGGAGTAGAGCGAAATACGTGACACTCTGCCAAATCCACAGCCATGATACTAATCTGTGGCCACACCAGAGCCACTGTACTGAAAATAACTAGTACATCAGTCTGCATGATGAAGCATTCTGCCTGCAAGCGGCATAATTTAGACAAGTTCTGCAGCTGCTTTCATTTGTATTAAAGGTTGGTTCATCCTCTAGCCAGACCAGGATCAGAAGAGCAGAAAGGTGACTTAGTGCCATCTTTCTCTCTCTGTTCCTCTCACCAAGAGATTAATCCCCAAGAGTTTATATCCCTATATGTGTAGCCTACCCAACGTAGTTGTCCTCCCTGTGTGGCATTGTAATCATGTCCACGGCAACCAGTTGTGATAGGGCAAACAAGGAATCACGCTATCATGAGATCTCATAAATCACTGCCAGTGTGCTTCATTATGCAGAATGGATTTTTGCTGAAGCTCATGAAGATAACGTTAGCATTTCTGTGCTTTTTCAGGAATATAATGATAAAGCAGCCTGCCCATCGCTCTGCCCACATCACTCTCATCCACGCGCAGAGCCACAACCTCCCAGTGTTTGCAGTGAATGTTTAAGATGATTTAGAAATTTAAACAAATGAAATTTCTGTAGTCGTTTTCAACAGCTGTCGTCCACCGCCTTTGTTCTGGAAGCCCTATAAATGAATTACCTCTTCTCCACTTAGAGCCATGTGCTTCAATAAGTTGCACACACACACAAAAATAAATGTAGAAACCGTATCTCCACATTCTCCTCACAGAGCAAGCCTCCTAGTTGGCATGCTGCCATACCAATGAACAACACAGAAATGGTCCCATGTAAACTCCAGAAATGGGGGATGGTCTTAGGAAATGTGGTAAGAATGAGGGCAAAGTCAAAGTGCCACACACGCTACCCTGGGAAAACAAAAATACCTTACCTGCAGTTACCAGATGCCAGTCAATGCTGCTCTGAAATTTAACTTGCTATTTGTAAAAATTCACATCTCACTGAAATAACCTTCAGTGGAGGTCTGAATAGACATAAGCCGTCTCTCAGTGATCTTGTTAACATTGTGAGGGGTTTGTCTCATGGCAAGGGACTTCAAAAATGTGCTGCATACTATCCATACCAGTGGGAGCTTCAGGCAGCATTGCGCACAATGCTTCCTTGATTGTTCAGAAAGCACAGCCTTCAGGTGGCCAGTTCTAGAGAGTGGAGTTGGTTTCACTGGCCCATTTTCTCTTACTAATCTGGCTTTTAGTTTTTGGTCTTTTTTCTGTGAATGAAAGGGAATAGAAGCTAACCAGTGTTTTGTTGCACTTAAATAACCAAAATTAACTGCCCCCGCCTTTTTTTGGGAGGGAGGGGGAAGGATAATTAAGGTTTCATTTTTCCCAACCAGATTTTCCTGTGATCCCCTAGCCTCTGTTCTGAAACAGAAGACACTGGATACATGTCTGGCTATAAATGCTTCCCCCTGACCAACATTGTGTACAGAACAATTAGTACAATACTAGGATGACGCCAAATCAAGCTTTGCTTACCTAATCCTTGGTGCCTACAGGACAGCTCACCTGTAATGACCCTCCATGAACGTACGGCAAACAAAAGCTGGGAAACCTACCATAATCCCATCATCAATTTATGCTCCTGAAGGGGACTTGAACTGGAAACACTGAGAAATTCAATACACTAAAAAGCCACCTTTATTTCATTTATGACATGGTGCATAGAGCAAACACTTCTTCCATTTGTTAATTGACAGGTCTAAATGTTAATCAATTGACTTGGTTCCTGTAAAGTATCCAGATATTGTTTGCCTAAGAATATTCTGAATACTTCTTCTGAGGCAGGCACCATCTTACTGTTCTGTGTTTGTGCAGTGCCTAGCACACTGGGGTCTTAGTCAATGGCTCAGGCTCCTAGGAATGACTGTGATATAAATAATACTATCATTTTAATTTAAAATGTTCCTATATACTACCTTTGTACTTACTGTAGTATCTATGTACTGTATTTTAGTGGTAGCATATATTTTTTCTTGTGCTATAATTTTTCTCTTTATAATCCTGTACTTTACCTACACTTTGGGAGTCTTTCCACTAACTTTAATGGAGTTTTAATCAAGCATTTCAGTTGCAGTTTAGTAGCAATGTCTGCTGATGGTGCAGTATCATCAAAAAGAGGATTCTTCTCTCCAAGAAGGGGGGTTAATTAATTACCTTTCTGCTTTTCTGTTAGAAAGTTACTAAAATTCAGGGAAGTTGTTATTGACAAAGTTATGTAACTTTTACTTGTTATTGCATTGAAGATAAGTCTTTAAATCCAGCCGAGGCTAGCAAGTGGGACTGAAAGAATAGTACCTTTTTGTTTTGGAACAACTCATTTAATACTTTATTTATGTTTGATATTGCGTAAAAGGCAGCAAGTTTTGACCCCTTTTAAGTTTTAATTCTTCATTTTTCATTGCTTAACTCAGTTTATGTAATAACAAAGGTTCAAATTCTCTAGGAGCAAGGCCCAATGAAATCAGGAGGACTGTTTGCTGAGCAAGGAACTCAGAGTGAGTCTAGGTGGCAGGATCTGGTCCTTTAAAGTTTTTGCCTAAATTGCTCAGTGTTCTTTTGGCAAGAGGTAGCTGAACTGTTTTATAGATTTTCATACATACCTCTTCATCTGAGAATATCAAGGTATTTATAGGAATCCTTAAGGGCTAGATCATCCTTTGATCTGCATGCAGGGCGTAAAAGGGAATAAAACCCCACTTCCACCTTTGCGATCCCCCTACCCCCATCCGCTTATGCCAGCCAGTAGAGCTGAATCAGCATGGAAACGGTGCAATAACTTGCTGATGATATAAGCCAGCAACAAATTCTTACCCTTCTTCTGGAAGGGGAGAGCAGGGACAGAACTGTGGATGTATTTGTTGGAAAGTTGCTGATACAATTTAAAAAGTAACTACTGTAGACTTTTTAGACCCTTTCAGTTAAAGGGTATGTGTGTGTGTTTGAGAGCAAAAAAGAGTTGCTTTTACATTGTCTGCATTAGTATATCAGGCAAATAAAAAGATGCTGCATGGTATACCACTGTGTATTAAGAACTATATTATGTATTTCTTTCCCAGAGTATTTCTTATATATGTGCTCCTTTTTAGTGATCCTTTACCCCCAATATTATTGTCCTTTAAAGGAACACCTTCCTTTCTCCTCCCTTCACTTAAACCTTAATTGTTATATCAATTTCTTGATGTTTTATTTCATGTTACAATCTCTCAACCCTCCCCGCCCCCTTTTCTTTTTTGGTCCCACAGTTCTTGGATGCTCTGACTGCAGGATATCGCTGTCCAACCCCACGGGAATCTTCACCTCTCCCTGCTTTCCCAGTGATTACCCTAACAGCCAAGCATGCAAGTGGATCCTCCGAGCTCCTCCTGGATTCATCATTCAGATAACATTTATTGAGTTTGACATTGAAGAAGCTCCAAACTGCATTTACGATTCATTAACTCTAGATACTGGAGAGAATCAGGTTAAGTTTTGCGGCGTCACTGCCAAAGGATTATCATTTAACTCCACTGGAAATGAAATGATAGTATCTTTTGCAAGTGACTTTAGTATCCAAAAGAGAGGCTTCAATGCCAGCTATAACCGAGGTATGTACGCATAAAGAATTTCTTTCCTCTTTTATCTAGCATGTCTTATACCAAGCAGACTCACTCTATGTGGTAAGGTGAATCTTTGAAGTGAGAATCTGGAGATCTGGTTCTGCTAGATATATTTGGGAACAAAATGTAGCCATAACCAGTTACTTATACATACTTTTTAACAATTTATTGCTGTGAGTGTGTGTGAATGAAGATACAGAGCTTGATTCTGTCCTGGCATATGGCTTGCTCCAGTATATCGAAAAACCACCTACAGTGCTTGTGAAGATTTTTGGTTCAGTTATGCCTCTTTCTGCACATGTGTGTTACAGAGTACAAGCGAGATATATCTCCCACAGACCAGTGCACCCACATAGGGGCATGGAGCCATAATCTGACTCCCAGTGCTGTGGAGAGCAACAGGGAAGTTAACACAGCCAGAAACAACTGCGCTCCTCTGGCACACTAGAACTTTCCAATAAGGGTAAACCTCATCTGTGCAGGAGACAGAACTTCCTCAGGGACAGATCGGAGACTGTGGAGTGAACTCCCCTAGGAACTAAGGACTATCACACACCTCACCACATTCCACTCGGTAGCCTTCTTTAACCCTGCCTTCTCTAGCATAAATGCACAGCAACAGATCTATTAAAAAAACCAGAAGCCCTACCAAAATAAGACACTCCAGTGCATATGCTTCCCCCTATGGAAAGAGGATGAGAGAACAAACTGCACATGACAGATGTTAATCACTTCACTTAATGCACTACTGGAAGGCGCTCAGATATTATGATAAGTGGGGTAAAACAATCTCTATAGAACAGAAGCAGTAGCAGCTCCATAGTGAGCATGGGCAGCACTATGACCCCACTCTCCCTGCATGCCAGCATAGCTGACACAAGTGAAGTTCCGGAATTTTCTCAGCTCTCTTGCTCTGAGGAGGCCTTATTTCTTTTATAGTCAGAATGCTTTTACATTCTAAAGCTGGAGCATTATTAATTTGTTCTGAGGTTTTGCCTAGGAGCTTCAGTCATGGACCAGGACCCCATTGTGCTAGGTGCTGTACAAACGCAGGACAAAAAAAGAAAGATAATTCCTGTCCCAAAGAGCTTACATATAGTATGTCTCCTCCTCATTCCCAACACCTTGCAAGAGAGAGAACTACATCCTTAGAATGAAAGGGCAGGATTACAGAAGCTAAATCTGTTTACAGCTTTGAAAAAGAAAAAAGATAACACTAACTAGAGAGAGCTAGAAATGTTACTAAAGCTCATTAGAGCCACCTGAAAGGTTATTCTGGGTCAGAAAGCCACTTGTGCTGTACTGAAGGCAATCAGATCATAATCTGGATAATGAGGAAATGTACATAGAATCAGGTAGTGCAAAATGATACATTTGACTGTTAACATTCAAATTTGTCTGATGCTAAATGTCTTTTCTAAGGATTCTGCCATCCTTACTCACATTGATTAGTACCTTACTCCTGGAATCAGTCCACCAAAATAGAATATTTCTGAAAAATATTCAGATATAAATGAGATGACTGGTGGAGAAAAGTACTACTCAGTGTCTTCAAGGATACCAGAACTGGCACTAATTCCCCCCCCCCCACACACACACACAGCTTAGCTTCTAAGAGTCATGTTAAAATAATCACTGGGCCATGCAGTCCACTCTCTATAAGGCTTCTTGCTAAAGCTCTGTCTGGAATAAAGGTACTGCACCGATTGGATTACTACAGATCTGTCGCACTTCTTTAAGAGTTGGATGTACATGGGGAGATGTCTGCATGCATGAAAGGAGAGAATGTGACTATAAACACTGAAGATAAACCTAACAAGCTAAATTCTGCCATCAGCTACTCCCATACAACTCCACTGACTTCAGTACATACCCACAATGTGGGAGATGAAACAGAGTTATGACGTGATTTGCCCCAGATCACCCAGTAGGTCAGTAGGAGACCAAGGATTAGAAGCTAGGTCCCCTGAGACTGAACCAAGTGGCCTTCCCACGTCTTGATAACTTTGTGTGAATGGTAACCTAAGGGCACGTCTACATGGGGAAATTTACTGTCAGAACTATGCTAGTGTAATTATACTAACTCTCTATGTTAACATTCTGATTCTGGAACAAACATGGTTTCTGCTACCTGACAGGGTGGCTGACACTTTTCAATCAAGAAAATAAGGAACAACAAATAACATTCACCATTTCTGTTCATTAGCTTGTTTGTCCACAATGATCCTTATTCATATGCATATTTGTAAAATGATTGGCCTTTCTTATATGTAGTGAGCTGAAGAAGAGCTCTGTGTGGCTTGAAAGCTTATCTCTCTCACCAGCTGAAGTTTGTCCCAGCCTTTCCTAGACATTTGTGCAAATCCATTCACACAGATTTTTACAAATAGTGAATGATTAGGGCATAAATATTCGTGAACACTAGCTTGCAGCATTCAGCTAGACTGCTTTTGAGAAATATTGAACAGAATCTTCATACCCAACAAAAACCCATTAGTTGAGTTCTCCAACAAAAGGCTTTGATTTGCCAAGGAATGTAGCTGAGGCACTCTCTGCTACAGTGTTACAAAGATGTGGCATGGGCTTCAGTTGTGTAATGCACTCATGAAAAACAAGTCAATAAAAATCATGAAAACAAATGAAATGTTTTCAAATTACTGCTGTAGTGTATTGCCTAATGCGTTCTTACAAGTTACCAGATGAATGCAAAGTAATTGTAAAAATTCATTCTTGTATGCCGTGAGTTTTGAATGCAGCCTCAGAACTTAATAGTTTAATATACTTAAATCACCTCCTGAAGTTGAATTATCTGTAATGCAGCACTAAAATGATCTTTGCCCATTTTTGGTTGAATGTATTGCTAAGCTAAATGCACTATAATGTGCAATACTGGGCCAGTTGAATGATAAAAGCATTCTTTTAAACATTTGGCTTTATGAATATTACTTGGATCTTTGTCTTTAAACCAATTTGTATCTCCCTTTGAAATTTATTTATATATGGATTTTTGTGTATGTGTTTACTAGTTGCTGTTTCTCTGAGGAATCAGAAAGTCATCATCCCCCAAACTTCAGATGTTGACCCTGTGTCTGTGGCAAAAACTGTCCCAGTGCCAGAGCTTAGCCAGTTCACACTCTGCTTTGAAGCAACCAAAGCCAGCAATGCTGCCAATGACTGGAAGGCTTTCTCCTACAGTGATCCTTTGTCAACAGAACTCCTCAGTTTTGGAAAGACTACAAAAGGCCACTTCCTATCAATTTCAGGCACAGAGTGCATACTAGACAGTGTCCTCATCACAAATTCAGATGGAGATTTTTTCACAGAAACTTTTGAACAATTGTGCATAGTATGGGATGGCTTCTCTGGCACTATAGGTGTAAATGGCAAGAGCATCTATCACACAGTTCTCTGCTCAGGTACCTTTGGCCAGGTTATCCCCGGCAATGGAAGATTGGTGTTGGGCTCTGACAGCAATGAAATAAGCTCTTTAAATGGGGATATATACAACTTTCGTCTCTGGAACTTCACCATGAGTTCCCAAAAGCTGTCCAACCTCAGCTGTGATGTGAAAGGAAACATTGTAGACTGGGAAAATGACTTCTGGAGTATCCCAACTTCAGCATTGAAAGCGGAAAACAACTTAAGCTGTGGTGAGTATGTTTGGCAGAATCACTTTTATTAATTCCTCCCTACCCCCGGCATTGTTCTTGAAGTATCATGTGACAGCCAGAAACTGTATGTTTAGAGTTACAGACAGCAGCACTTCCCAAAAGGCAACCTCACTTGTCCTAGCCTTGCCAGCTCCATTCCATGAAAAATTAATTTTGTCGCGGGTGTGTCTGTTCCTTTAGTTTAATCAAAGCTCATATCCAGCCTGACTTCAAAAGACAACTAATGAGGTTAAACAAAATGTATAAATGAAGGGTTTTTATATATTATTCAGGACAGAAGCAATAAATAACCAAAAGTAATAAAAGAAATAAATAAAAGTTCTCTGATCTTTCCTTTCCATAAACTCATTAGTTTAAATGTGATTTTAAGACAAGTTAGTTAATATACTTGATTGTGGCCACGTGGGGCAATATAAAATATAAAAAAGATAAAAAGGGGTAATAGGTAGAAATAATACTGTGTATATAATGCTATAGGCATGCATAGCACTTTACGGAAACATATTAAGACCAGAGTCCCTGACCTGAAGAGGTTACAATCTAAGGCCCTTATCCTGAAAGCACTTAAGAATTTGCTTAACTTTAAGCCCTTGAGACACCAGTAGGATTACTCAAGTGCCTAAAGCTAGGCAGGCTATCTTCTTTCCTGTGCCAGAGTTCTGTTCAGTACAGGCATGGATGGGGACCATTAGAAAGCTGGTTCGGCCACCCTGATTCTCCTGCATTGAAGCTAAGATTACTCAGGCCCAGTTCACGAGTCTTAAGTCTACTCATTGCTGTGGCTTTCTAAGGACATTGCAGCAATAAAAGATTATCAAGATGTTCCAGAGGTATTATTATTTTCATAGTTGTTGTGATCTAATGATCCAAGAATTGGTCTAGATCTCCAGGAAAGAAAGTTTCCACCAAGGCAGGAAGCAGAGCTTTCCACTCACTATGTCACCTCCTTTATTCCCTCATGCAACTCTGAAAATGTCATCATAGAGTAAAGATGTAAGAATGCACCTGGAAATGTTATCTTCCAGGGTTTTTTACTCTTCGCATACATGGAAACTTTGAGAGGGGATACAATCAATTTTTCTGTGGGATCTTCCCAAAACCAATAGCCCCAAAATACTGAATCGCTGCTTGAAATAATGTCCATTTCAAACTTCTTTTTAAACTGCTTATTTGTTGTTAGCATTCTTCTCACAGGAAATGAGAGAGGATCATGAGTGGGAAAGGATCCAGCAGACTTCGGTCTGTCCACGGTGATCTTTGGAGAAAAAAAATTAATTGAACTGACAATTTGGCACATTATGAACTTCTGGTCTCTGATCCTTTGGTCAGTAGGAAGGAGCAATGTGTGCTTTGTGCATTTGCTGTACATCCATTGTGCTGTCTGTGAAGAGTGCCATAAAAAGCATCTGTGCGCAAAATTAAACAAACCAAACCAAAACAAAAAAAAAACGCAGAAACCTGAGGAGAATGAAAGGAGAATAAACTAAAGGCAAAAGGGATTAAGAGGAGAGGAAACATTTCAGATTAAAATTGCTGGGTTTTCCACTTCCCTTTGCACATCTCAAGACAAATATTACCTCATGGTCCTGCCTCTTTTCACCCCTCCAATCCCCCACGGCACAGTTTCTCCTCTACCCATTTGCTTGCTGCTCCCCCCAGCCTCCTTCCTAGTCACTTGATCTTCTCAACCTCCCACACCCCCACCCCACCCCCAGCTGGGTGCTGGGACAGGAGCTGCAGCCTGATGCCGCCCACAAGATGCAGGTAGGAGCTGCCCCGGCTGAGCAGACGCAGGCACAGGTTGATGACCTGGCACCTGCCCCCTTCCCCCACCCACAGTAACTGGACTTTTGGTGTCTGGTCAGTACATCTGACTGGGCACCTCCAGGTCCCCTTTACAACCAGACTTTCTGGTCAAAAACCCTAGTGTGGTAGATGTATATGATGTGCACGACTGTGATCTGCTTCTGAACTCCAGTTCTGCAGAGAGGGAGACCCCTGCAAGACAGACATGACACTGATTGGCTTTCCACAAAAACAATTATACTCCTGCAAGAACCGTATTCTTCTCCTAGTGCCTTCTCACATTCAGCTTTCCTGGTTCCTTACTATCTTAATGGTTTTGTATTATGTAAACTCCTTACCAAAAGCACCCATCTAGATCTCTGGATAACCTCAGCATAAACCAGAGTAGCTGTACATTTTGTGTTTTCTATCTAACTTTGCTTGGGGCATGGACCTTGTCTTTGTTTATTGTGAAGAACTTTGCAAGCCTACGTCACTAGAAAAATAAATATTAGGGCTGTCGATTAATCATAGTTAACTCAGGCAATTAACTCAAAACAATTAATCGCGATTAAAAAAACTAATCATGATTAATTGCATTGTTTAATAAATTTCAATTGGTATTCTATTTAATATTTTTGGATTTTTTTACATTTTCAAATATATTGATTTCTGTTACAACACAGAATACAAAGTGTACACTGCTCATTTTATATTATTATTTTTTATTACAAATATTTGCACTGTAAAAATGATAAAAGAAATTGTATTTTTCAATTCACCTCATACAAGTACTGTAGTGCAATCTCTTTATTGTGAAAGTGTAACTTACAAATGTAGATTTTTTTTTTGGTTACATAACTGCACTCAAAAACAAAACAAAGTAAAACTTTAGAGCCTACAAGTCCTACTTCTTGTTCAGTCAATTGCAGAGACAAACAAATTTGTTTACATTTATAGGAGATAATGCTGCCTGCTTTTTATTTACGTCACCTGAAAGTGAGAACAGACATTCGCATGGCACTTTTGAGCCAGCATTCCAAGGTATTTAAATGCCAGATATGCTAAACATTTGTATGCCCCTTCATGCTTTGGCCACCATTCCAGAGGACATGCTTCCATGCTGATGAAGCTCGTTAAAAAAAATTGTTAATTAAATTTGTGACTGAACTACTTGAGGGAGAATTGTATGTCTCCTGTTCTGTTTTACCTGCATTCTGCCATATATTTAATGTTATAGCTGTCTTGGATGATGACCCAGCACATGTTCGTTTTAAGAACACTTTCACAGCAGATTTGACAAAACGCAAAGAAGGTACCAATGTGAGATTTCTAAAAATAGCGACAGCACTCGACCCAAGGTTTAAGCATCTGAAGTGCCTACCAAAATCTGAGAAGGATGAGGTACGGAGCATGCTTTCAGAAGTCTTAAAAGAGCAACACTCAGATGAGGAAACTACAGAACCCAAACCACCAAAAAAGAAAATAATCCTTCTGCTGGTGGGATCTGACTCAGATGATGAAAATGAATATGCATCAGTCTGCTCTGCTTTGTATTGTTATCGAGCAGAACCCATCATCAGCATGGACACATGTCCTCTGGAACGGTGGTTGAAGCATGAAGGGACATATGAATCTTTAGTGCATTTGGCACATAAATATCTTGCAACGCCAGCTACAACAGTGCCACGTGAACGCCTGTTCTCACTTTCAGGTGACATTGTAAACAAGAAACGGGCAGCATTATCTCCTGAAAATGGTAACTTGTTTGTCTTAGTGTTTGGCTGAACAAGAAGTAGGACTGAGTGGACCTGTAGGCTCTAAAGTTTTACATTGTTTTATTTTTGAATGCAGTTATTTTTTTGTACATAATTCTACATTTGTAAGTTCAACTTTCATGGTTGCACTACAGTACTTGTATTAGGTGAACTGAAAAATACTATTTCTTTTGTGTTTTACAGTGCAAATATTTGTAACCAAAAATAAATATAAAGCGAGCACTGTATACTTTATATTGTGTTGTAATTGAAATCAATATATTTGAAAATGTAGAAAAATCCAAAAATATGTAAATAAATGCTATTCTATTATTGTTTAGCAGCACAATTAATTAAGATTAATTTTTAATTGCACAATTTATCACGATTAATTTTTTTAATGGCTTGACAACAAAATGTAGTCACTGAAATATATCAACGGCAGGTTCCTTTTCTCCCATCTGTAAATATTGTAAAAAATAAACATGAATACTCATCAGACTAGCAAGGTAATGGGCCCCAGGTTTTATACATTAATACTGTTTTACATATGTATTAGTTTTGATATTTAAAATATTACAATAGTGCCCAAGGGCCATAATCAGGACCAGGACCCCATTGTACTGTGCTAGGCACTGTACAAACACATATGAAGATACAAGCTCTGCCCCCAAATAGTTTTATTAGCTAAGAAATTACTTGGGAAATCAGTAGTAGTGTGTGTGCAGTGGAAAGAGCACAGGAGTAAAATCCTCACCCACCCACACCACATTCTGTTTGCTAAGAGTGCAAAAAAGCCTAGCACTCCAAGGAAGGTAATTGTATCTCTCCTGTCACAAAGCCGAAGAGAAATCTCCAGCACCCTTTTCAGTCTTCTCCCAGGCGTGCTAAATGATTACAGTACTACTGGCTTACCCATCTACATTTCCTCAGAGAAAGTACTGTGAGAAATACCATCTCAAAAACTCAGCTAGAAACCCCAGAGGATGCACCTGTAAGATTTTTCTCTTCTCGTTGTCTTTTTGAGTAATAAAGAATTCTTTGTCAGACCAACCTTTGAAATAAGAGTTGATGAGTCAGGCTATCAATGACAGACAAAGCACTAGCAACATTAGAGAGATGACTTTATCTTACTGATAAGGATTCATTTAATTGCAAAGCAAGGGTTTGTTCAGAAAAGAGAAATTCATCCTGCCATGTTCATGCTTTGGTAAGGAGCTGAAAGAAGCTAAGTAACAAAGCAGTCTGAACACTTACTAGTGAATACAGCATATTTGCATGTGAATGTCACTTGCATTATTAAACTCCGCAAAGGGCTCTATTTTCATTTGCGGTTAATGGACTTTTCAGAAAGCATTTGCAAATGGAATTACTGAACATATGAGCAGTAACAAATTGCTGCAGATAACCTTCTTTTGAGAACCCTGCCTTGTACTGATTTAATATTCCATTCAGAATTTCATTCAATTGCATGTTCTTACCACTGTATAGGTGGTGCTGAGTTTTTCTGGGTTTTTAATACAGCACGCTAATGCTACTCATCATTTAGATGGGCCTGGTTTTCATTTCACTATAAAATCATCAGCTGCATTTGATACCAGCAGTACATGCCCTTATCCTATACCCACATTGATACAAAAAATAAAATGGTTCAGCCATAACTGGCCATTCCTTTTAAGTCCAAAAAGTGAATTAAGCAAGATGTGTAGAGAGTTGACATGCTTAGGTGATATTGATGAAAATATTGTAGCAGCTCAAAGTATGTTGACATTCAGATTCTCATAATTTCTTTTACTGAGCACTGACAGATGACGTGATCTGGCCAAAACCAGGCTTGATTAACACAAAAAAGGGTGTGTTTAGCATAGTGCCCAGGCATATTTATCTTTAAAAAAAATACTAAAGTGTGGTCTATTGCCACGTGGAAGTTACAGTGACCTTCAGGTAGCTACTTAGCCACCTTCCTCTGATATAGACCCAATAGGGGATCAGCTTTCAGGGTGTTTTTATATTAGCCTATTAACATTAGCAAATATATTTGTAAAAATGCTTCACACAGGACATCATATGGCTTGCAAAGGATACTTAGTGGAGTTTAGTTTCTTATATAAAATATGAACTCATCCCACCGTCTCATAGGTTTCAAGTTATTTCATGGAAAAATAGTTCAGCGTACTTTTAAGCCTGCCCTGTATTCTCTCAGGTCTCCAGCCAGCAATATCCCACTCTGCTGCATGGCCTCTGGGTTCGCTGCTGCCGAGTGATGAGCACCTGGCTCCATCCTAGCTCATTCTCAGCACAGCAATAACCACAACACATGCCTAGCAGGAACAGAATAGGAAAAATATTTTCAAAAATATCTAGGTGGTTTAGGAGTCTAAGTCCCATTTTCAGCAATGATGTAGGAGCCTAATTCTCATGATACTTAGGCAATTTAAAAAGTTTTACCCTCACTCCTACTTGTTCTGTTTTTAAGTTTTTCTGTTTTTTTTAAATGAGTGAAGTGAATTCAGTACTATTAAAGTGAACGACAAAAGTCCCAATGACTTCAGTGAATTCAGTAGGGTGCCAGGTGTCTGGTTTTCGACCAGAACGCCCAGTCCAAAAGGGACCTTGGCGGCGCCGGTCAACACTGCTGACTGGGCCGTTAAAAGTCCGGTCAGTGGTGCAGCGGGGCTAATGCAGGCTCCCTGCCTAGGCCGTGGCTCCACATGGCTCCCGGAAGCAGCGGCATGTCCCCCCTCTGGGTTCTAGGTGTAGGGCAACCAGGAGGCTCCGCAAGCCACCCCTGCCCCAAGCGATGGCTCTGCAACTCCCATTGGCTAGGAACAGTGGCCAATCGGAGCTGCGGGAGCAGCACCTGTGGACAGGCAGCACACAGAGCCACCTGGCCGCACCTCCACATAGGAGACAAAGTGGGGACATACTGCTGCTTCTCGGAACTGCTTGAGGTAAGCACCTCCCAGAACCTGCAGCCCTGATCCCCTCTCATGCCTCAACCCCCTGCCCAGCCCTGATCCCCTCCCATTCTCTGAATCCCTCAGTCCCATCCCCAGTACCCTCCTGTATCCCAAACCTCTCATCCCCAGACCCTCCCCAGAGCCCACACCCCCAGTCGAAGCCCTCACCCCCCCACAGTGCTCCAACCCCCTACCCCAGCCCTGATCCCCTTCCTGCCCTCCAAACCCCTCAGTCCCAGCCTGGAGCATCCTCCTACACCCCAAACCCCTCAGCCCTACCTAGACTCTGCACCCCAGAGCCAGAGCCCTCACCCTCCTAACCCCCTGCCCCAGCCCAGAGCCCTCTCCCAGACTCTGAACCCCTCATTTTTGGCCCCACCCCAGAACCCGCACCCCCAGTCCAGAGCCCATACCCCCTCCCGCACCCCAACCCCCTGCCTCAGCCCAGAGCCTCCTCCCATACTCTGAACCCCTCGGCTCCACCCCCCAACCTGGAGCCCTCTCCTGCACCCCAAACCCCTCATCCCTGGCCCCATCCCAGAGCCGGCATCCCCCAGCTGGAACCCTGACCCTCCTCCCACCCCCTGCATTCCACTGCGTCAACGTGGAGCCCCTCCTGTACCCTGAACTCCTCATTTCTGGCCCCACCCCAGAGCCTGCACCCCTAGTCAGAGCCCTCACCCCCTCCTGAACCCCAACCCCCTGAGCTAGCCCAGTGAAAATGAGCGAGTGACAGATGGAGGGGGCAGGGACTCGGAGAAGGGGCAGAGGAGGGGTAGGGCAGGGGGCGGGGCAAGGATGTTCTGTTATGGCTCTGCTAATTTATACTGGCTGTTAACAAACCAGAGGCCAAAACCTGCAACCAGGGATTGATTTGGCATAGAAGTGTCCCAGCCATGCCTTCTTCCTCTGGACACACCCTCTTTCCCCATCTAACATAGCTGCTGTGTGCTACTAAAGGAACCCTCTTGCACTGAGGTGATTCTACCAGGGAGATGTGCTGGTTTGGGGGCCAGACCGAGCCAGCCATATAGCACAAAACATCTGCATTTCACGTAGACATCTGGCCCATTCACATTTTACACGCACAAGCTGGGTTGTTTAATATTGTTTATCTAAGTATTTAGCATTTATTTAGTATTATTTTTGCACATGTGCATTATCGAGTATGCCATGCTATTTGGTCCCATTATTTTCAACATAATGTGCAAACGCTGTATGTGCAGCTGAAGCACGGGGATATTCCAAATATAATGAATGCAGCTACCCCATTACTTTCTCAGTTGGTCCCAAAATATGTGCATGTTGATATGATTAATTCAGTAAGTACACATTCTGATGTCTTTATCTGTTTATTATACATGCATACCAGAACATGAATCATGCCCACGCCCTGCACACAGGAACTGGTTGAATCACAGCCTATCTGCTTGGTATCTCCTTTGGGGAATTTCTCTGACTAGTACGCTGGTAGACTACGTTGCCACAACTGAGTTCAGAACTCACTTGAAGATGCCATGTTGTTATCCATTAATTCTGCATAGGCACTACAGCCACACTAGCTACTACATTTTTAAACAGTTTGCCACACGCTGCTCAATGATTTCCAGGGGAGCTAAATCTAACGGAAATCTTGGAAAAGATGAAGATGGGAGGTACTTGTTAGATATGACCCAAACTTGCAAGCCAGCAGGACTTTCCTGGAGTTGTCAGCAACACAGGGAAATGATCGTACATGAGTCTTCGGAGCAAAATGGCATATCAGGTTTCCTGCTGAGATAAACCAGAAAAAGAACTGCGAGTGCATGACCTAATGTATTTTGAGACATGACAATGTTATGTATCATATACCAAACATTTTTAATGATTTGTCTTTCCATATTCTAAAGGTTCATACCTAATTCCCCCACCTACAACTGAACCAACTAGTTGTGAAAATCTTGGAAGCCTTTGCCAAGGTAAGAAGCCAAAGACACTGTTTGCATTTTTCAGCTTTACCAAATCTCCTTGTTTTTTTTTCTTTTAATTTCATTTTACTTTAACTTCTTAAGGCTGACCTCTAGAAAACTGAGCAAAGAAAGGTTTCAGAGGAACAGCCGTGTTAGTCTGTATTCGCAAAAAGAAAAGGAGTACTTGTGGCACCTTAGAGACTAACCAATTTATTTGAGCATGAGCTTTCGTGAGCTACAGCTCACTTCATCAGATGTATACCGTGGAAACTGCAGCAGACTTTATATACACACAGAGAATATGAAACAATACCTCCTCCCACCCCACTGTCCTGCTGGTAATAGCTGTAGCTCACAAAAGCTCATGCTCAAATAAATTGGTTAGTCTCTAAGGTGCCACAAGTACTCCTTTTCTTTTTGAGCAAAGAAAGGAATTTCTTAGCTTCAACAGATGTGTGGGTATACTATACATACAGTATGTAGAAAGAATGTGATCAAACTCTTTATAATACAATCAAGTCCATAAAGTCTTCATTGTATCAAAACCTAACAATCATATGCTAATGCAAAGATGAACTGGTTTAATTTCTTTCCCTATCTCTTTTCCTCCTGCACAGTTAAAGGCTATAATGTTAACGCTGGTAGAAAATATGTAAATCGGGCATAAACTGATGTAATTACAGGAACTGATCATTATTTAGATGTTTTTAACAGGCTGCTGTGAAGCTTAATTAATTGTTAGTATGGTTTGAGATCCTCAGGTGAAAGGTATTATACAAATACAAAGTATAATCATTATTATTCATATAATAAAACTACTTATTGTAATAGCTGATGATTTTCTGGCCTTCCCCCCAGAGGCATACTAATGAATGATCACTATAGGTATCAACATGTCTGTCAACCACAACAGGAGTCATGACATCAGACATTTTGAAGGGCCAGGTCAGCTGGGTTACTCCTGGGGGAATTCTGCGCCATCGTGCATGTGCAAAATTCATATCCCTCTGCAGAATTTCTTTGCTTCCCCTCAGAAAATGACAGGGAAGCAAAGAGAAGTGCACAGGGGAGAGGTGGAGCTGGGGATGCCCATGGGCGTAGTTTGGGGAGACATTGCAAGATTATCACTAGAGCTGGGTGAACACTGCAGAGTTCCACTTCCATGTGCCATGTGAATCAAACCTGCAGGGATTACTCATAAGGATTCACCCCTAATAAAATTCCTGCAGCTCTGCTTCGTGGTTGGAATTCAGCACAACCCCTTGGCATGAATGGTGGCAGGCCTACTTTCACAATGCATTCATGACCCCAGAGCCTACTGGTTGGGTTAAACTTCTCTATAAAACTTACATACAGCTCTATGCTAGCTGCAGCAGCAGCACCTGCTCTAAAATAATTTCAAATGATTTAACCCTTTTAAAGATAAGGGATGGAAGGCAGAGGCAAGCGGGAAAGAAAAGTAAATAAAGTGGAAGGACTTAAGATTCTTGGAACTCTTTCTGTGGTAAAGAGTAAAACTAAAACATATTGAGCTTAACAACACAGGGTAAAATTAACTCCTGGTGGGGAGCCAAGGTAATTACTATAGCAGGCTATAATGGCGTTTTAGCCACTTGCACTGGATTTTCTGGTGGTGAATTTGACTCAGGCTGCTGGAGCATATACTTGCAGTGTTTCAAACTAGATCTAAACTGATGTCCAGATTGCAAAGTCCACAGTTAAGGTGAAATGCCAGCTAGGTCCAGAAGTTAGTTTTAAATAGCATCTTTTGGACTTAAGACACCCAAAGTACTTTGCAATAATGAGTTAAATAGAGGTCCTGGAGCAACTGCTTAGGTAAATGTGGTAGCCATCATGAACTCAGTAATAGCTCTCACACAGCCATGGTAATTAAAACCAGTTTTACTGAGACAGGATTATGATAACCAGGACATCAGGATAGTCTTTTTAGAAAAATGCCCAGAGATCTATGATTTGCATCAGACAAACAGTCAGTAATGCAACATTATCGAAGTAAGCCTGGTCATCTGTTTATAATTATTACTGATTACTATCCTTTGGATAGGTTGCCACTATTCAGATGTCAAGCATTTTTTTAATGAACTCATTTCCACAGTGTCATAAAAGCAATTGTTGAAGAAAAAGAACGGATGCTGGTTTTTTATGGGTTAAAGACCTTAGATTTCTATAGCAGCATTTGGTAATAGGGATGGATGCCGTTTTCTTTTTTACCACTTTTGTTGATTTGGCTAATGAGGCCCTCTTTGTCATAATTATATAAATGGCTGAACACCATATCATCCACTGAATTATAATCCTGTATGTTCAAATTCTTTAAATTGTTGCTGTGTTTTGCTTAATAAAATATCAATAGAAAACAAGTAACAAAGGTGAAACAAATTTATTCTGTCACACCAAAAAATCATACAAGAAGCTTGTAACAAAAACAACATAGATTGTATCTAGGAAAAAAACCAAACCCTGCTGAAAATACACTTTCTTAAGCTTTTGAGCTTGGTTGTTGGCCAAAATTGTATCAGAAAAGAACATGGCAGGTTGAGAGCTTATGATATATCAGTGTCCATATTGTAAAGAGAGCTTTCCAGCAAAAAACTTATCAATTTTGAGTTTGAGTTCCCTGAGAATTACTGAATAAAATACATTTCTTTTCCAAATTGTTATTTAAAATGCAGTGATATGATTATTAATTGTTTTGATGCTGTTCTGTGTAAACACACAAACCTATTCTGTTCTAAAGGGAATTTTCTGGTACTTTATATCTTCCCTGTACCAACCGAAAATTCATTTGAGCTAGTCCCTAAGGGATAAATTTTGGAAGTGCTGTGTGAGGTGACTCCTACTGATATCAGTAGGAATTGTATAATACATGAAGCTTTGAAAATCAATTTCTTGAGAATATTCCATGTATGATTTTAATTCTGTTCATTATACAGATCTTAGTGGAGTTAATTAGATCCTTACACTAATGTTTTAGTTTCACAGTTGTTCTTCATCTTCCTTCCCTGGGTAGAGACATCTATTTTTTTCACAAGCTAATGTTCATAGTTTGTGTGGGTTTGAAGCCGTGTTATTTATTTTCTGGCCTTTGCACAACTCTTCATAGAAGATCTTATTAAATGATTCAGAATTTGTGAAGACAGTACAGGACTGATCTTGCAACACTTACTCCCACTGAAGTCCGCAGGAGTAAGGATTGCAGGACTGGGACCTACATCAGTTCATTCATATTCATTACTTTATACAGAAGTTTGGTGTGTGTATATTAACATGTATAGTAAATGGTTTCCTTCACTCTCTATGTATGTTTTCATGCATTATTCCCATTGTGCCTGACCACATTAACATTCATTTTTCATGCAAATTCACCTTTCTCTCATCTTTGTTACCAGCTACTACTACTGTAAATGCTACTACTCCTCCACCACCCACTGTCACCACTAACATGCCCGATACTAATAGAACCGATAAGCCAAACGATGGTAAGAAATCCTGTGTTACATTTTTCCTTGTACTGTGTCTAAAGCAAATGTATTGTGTTATAAGGTTTATTTAAATATAACAAATGTCAAGTTTCACATATTGGGTTTGATTCTGCTCTTAATAACACTAGTGTAAATCAGGAGTTACTCCATGTCAATCATGTAAAACTGGTTTGAGAACAGAATCAGGCCCCATATTTTTTTAATATGCTTGCGTATTTCTTATATAAAAGCGAGCCATTTCCACATTATGTATCACTTGTTATTTATATTGTTCATTCACTAATCTTCAAAGCACACAGGGCCAAGATAGATATTTTAAAAAGAGGATAAAAATAGACATGTCTTTGAGACATTTTAACACAGCTGCTGTTTAAGTGCCACATAGCAGCCACATTTTCAGGTGGGCCGGTGGAACTTTGGAATGATCTATTCCCCACTGGTAAGTTTTTGAGAAGCCAAGTGGAATCTGTCTGTTGGAGCAAAACAACTTCCACTGACTCAACAGGAATCTTTCCATTGACTTCAAGGGGAGCAGGATCATTATTTTATTTAGGAAAATATTGACAACATTGAATATAATGTAGTTTTCATTCAGAAAGATTAGGGAAACTTTAATGGTACCAGATGAATCAATTATAAGCCCACTGCTATTCACAGGAAAGTAGAGATTTCCTTTGACATTTTATCAAGTTCTAAGAGATCACTTTCCTCAGGAGATAGTGTAGCATGTTGGGGGAGCTACCAAAATACAAATTAAGTAAAAATAATAATAGTAATGAATTGAAAGAAACTATTTTAACACAGCTTTCATTGGTTTTCTACAAAATATCACAGGAGATCTCACAAAAATCCTTTTCTGCAGGGATTTCATTTTCAGTGGGCTCCACAGAATTAAATCAATGATTGTGCATTTTTAACAAATGTGTTCATTTCTATTGGAGGATGTAAAACCTCTGGTAGTTTTATATTATAGCTTATTATGTCCTGCAAACATTACTGTAGAGTTCATCTTAGAATTTAGTAGTTTGTACCTATATTTTTCTTCTTTGATATTTGACTGTACTCTAGAGGAAAAGAGCCAGACCCTGGAAAGTATTGAGTCACTTATGTCAAGGGGTGTTTCGTTTCTATTTATGGAACCAATCGCAAGATGTTCACACTAAACAGTTAACCAATATAGTAATGCTGAGATTTTCAAAGCCACACAGGGAAACTGGATGCCCAATTTCCATTAAAATCAATGAAAACTGGATGGCTAACTCTTCTGGGTGTCTATAAAATTCTCTTCATAAAGCAGAAAGACTAAAAGACAAGATGCCAAATTCACACTTAAAGTAAGCAAATTCAGCTTCCACTGAGCTAACAGAGTTTCTGACGTGAGGTGAATCATTTGGTTTGTATAAATAATTTTTCTTTCATCCATTAACTATATGGCTTGCTACATACAGACCTGCAGGAATTGAGAGTTCCTGCTACAGTTATCTTCAGAATGAAGAGAAATTCACCTGAATCCTCCCGCTCACTACTACAAGGGCAGCAAGATTCTATGATAAAAGGGGTCAAAAATTTAGGAATTATCTCAACCCCAATTATTTGGCCAGTGAGACAAAGGCCTCTCCAACCCAGTAAAAGTTCATCACCTAAGGACCAAAACCCAGAGAGAAAAAACGTACACAACGTGTTCTTGCTACCTACTTCTGAGGCCACATCAGCTGCTTCTGGGGAGACTGAAGTTGCTACCTTGAATCCTTTCACAGAGCACAATACTACAATAAATCAGTCAACCCATAATAGTGTTTTGAATCACTCTAGTGGCTTACTGAATGAGATTCATGATATAGCACAAATTCCAATAACCCCCATGGTTACAGATCACTCCAAGAATGTAGGACTTCCTCTTCTGCAGAGTGAAAGTTTTAGTCCAGAACTAACATGGACTTTGACTGATGGATTGGATTATACTAATTCTGAGTCAGCATTCCTCACTCTGACAAGCAAAAGAAACCTTTATGAACACACAAAAGAACCCCTGTGGATTTTTTCTTCTAATAGTGGCACATCCTCTTCCACACATGAAAGTATATACAATGTCTTGAAATCTCTCAGCTGGTGGAACAATGCTGCATCATATCATCATGTTATTTCTGACATTCCAGAAGAAAACCATCATTCTCTGTCTAGGCTATCTGCTGCTTCTACACAATATGAGTCATCTTTTCAAAAAAGTAGGCTGGACTTACTAGAATTTTCACCTGAAAATGTTTACCTTGTATCCACTAAGAAAATTCTGGAAGATGATTCTATTAGGAATAGTGTTTATATTGCAGAAGCGAATGATGAATTGCAGTCTACAAAATTTAAATACTTCAAGGATCATCAATCAGTAAACCTTAGAAAGGTAACCTCCAAACAGACTCATCTTTCAAATCCATCTAGTTTCTTCCAAGATATAAAAGAAATATATAAAGAAGCTATACTTGATATCCAACCAACAGAAACTCTTCTAACACTGGAAGACAGCACAGAATTGCTAAGATTGTCAGCACTCTTGCTAGCAACAAGAAAGAGAAGTTCAGAATTTCAACACACTGTTACTGTTTCACCAGTTTATCAAGAATCCTTGAGTCATGCATATTTGAAAAGTGACTTATTTATATTTAGGCCTTTGACCAAATTGCCAAAAGAGGAAGATGAAGAAGCATCTTCTCCAGAAGATGAATTTGAACTCTTCAACACACTTATTTCTACCAGCAACTATATACCCCATTCTTTAAAACCCTCTGCAAATATGCAAAGGAAACCAAATGAGATCCCTGGAAATGAAAAATTAGAAAGTACTTTAGATACAAATCATAATGACAACCTACATGAAGATTCTGTTTTTTCCACACCTGAGTCAGAAAACATGAACAGAATCAGTAATACCTGGAAACCAGGTTATTTGGGTCTGCCAACACAGTATATTAATATTGCTCCTTCTTTACCAGCAAGTTTTTGGACTTTGTACTATAATTTCAAACAAGAGTCTCCAGAGTTTTCTGGGGAACTTTCAGAAAGCTGGTGGTTCTCATTTAATAAACTTGCTTCCTCAACAGAGAAACAGACATTTTTTAGTTCCCCTACTGCAGCTGATAATATCCTTATGCACACTACCATCAATACATCAGGTTATGGAACAGAAAAAATGAACTTTTCTAGCTATATGTCATCTTTGGATATGGAAAGCTTTAGTTCAATTGTTCTGATCCCTTCACTAGGGATTTCAGAAAATATAAAAGGGAAAATATCACAGTCAAAAATGACCATTTCTCCTAACATAAATGTGTCTTCAAATTCTCATTTCCCTTCACTGGAAATGTCTTCACATCAGCCTTCCATGCAGTTACGGACGAGTACCTTTGATATTTCACATGCAACTTTCACTGACGAATTTAAAAGTGTTGCTAGTTTACACATGCAGACTTGGGATCAAATTTCAAGTCCAGATCAAATCGGCATGACCTTCCAACATCACAGGCAGACATTTGCTTCAATTTTCTTCACTTACTCGGCAGCCCAGCCTTCGTGTACAGAGGATAACTATGTTGCCTGCTTACCTGACAGATCATCAGAGAGTTCGGTAACCTATACAAAAGCTAATGGACCATCACAATCACAAAACATTTATATGGTCAAAGAGAGTAATCCAACAAGTGCTTTTGATAATGGAAAAAGTAAAGTTCAGCCAGATGTAGACACTGATTTTGTAGGAACACACAGCTCACTGCGTTCTAACTTCCTCACAATGACATTGTCTTTGGAAAAAACAGACACTCTTCATTCAGAACAAAAAATCAGGGCCAGTGCACATCCTGACAGCTGCTCAACATCATTGTTATTTTCTACACCCTCACTATCACAAAGTCTTCAAAATGATCTTGACAAAATTTCACCAAGCTTGGGTCAGCTATGGAATGTAGCAGAGTTAAATTTACTAACAAAGCTAGCAATTAAAAGCCACATAACTGTTCTAGAACAAAAATCTGTTGAAGATCCAGAAATCAATCTGACACCTTCTCTTGAAATGGGAGTGCTCTATGATGTAAATATTGGGAGTACTACTTTACTGATGTCAAATACTGAATCACCACTTCCAGGAAGAGAATCAGAATGGGAGGTATACTACTATTCTAGCAGACAGATTGAAGGGTTTATTAACAAAGGAATGTCCTCTTTGAATTCCAGTAATATTCATACCATTGATTCGCAATTACAGACCATGCATCTGTCTTTTGAAGCGTACACCGATTATGGAAAAATAACAAATATCTCTTTTATTTTGGAACCAACAACAATTTCAGTAGTGGCCAGTGCAATATCTCTGTCATCTCCATACAGCGGGACTTTTATTCATGCCACTGAGAGTATTTTAAACTATGCTGTAACAATAACCGGAGCAACTATTCATCATTCTGTCTTGCAGTCCCAAAGATCAGCTTCTCAAGTAATGTACCACCAGTCATCTATTTCAGTGTATGAAAATCCCTTGGCCAATGCATCTGCTGGAACAAGCCAAATCTTCACCCCTTACAGACCACTGAATCCACTTACCAGCTCCCCAAAATTAGTTTTGTCTTATTTATGTAACTTCTTCGCTGAACTGAGCTGCCTGTGTGGACCTGAGGTCAACTACAGTATGTCAAGGCATTAAGCTAGATGTAGAGAAAATATCACCTCATCTCCTAGATATGCACTTTGTAGAACTGGATGTAGAAATATCCAGGTTTAATCCTTACATGTAGCTTCATGTAGATTGTAGAATAGCAATTTTAATTACAGTAGGAGGGAATTTGTAACATATTCCAAAACAATCTTAGCACATGCCATTAACATGTGGTTTCTAATAGCTGTCTTCCCATTCTCTAACCAATAGAGCTCTAAGGAGACTGCTGGGACAATAAGTTGATTGCCATCTATTTATTTATTATTCTGATGTTCATTATTTTTATTCTTAAATATTTTTGGATTTTTTTCAATTACAGTATTTACATTTTTGTGGCTTTGATTATTTTAAAAAGTCAAATCCAGGGTCCACCTCAAATTTAACAATGAAAGTTTTGAAAAATGTGAGGAAAATGGGGGGTGAGGGTGGGAATCCAATCCGGATAATTTTGCTCATCTTCTATATTTTTGCAATTTTAATCATTTTAATTTATTTATTTATTTATTTATGTTAAACTGCTTCAGTCTACTTTTCATCAATTATTTTCCTGTAAAAATAATTTTCTCCAAGCAACATATTTAAGGGGGGGGGGACAATTTTAAGTGGGGAAGCACTTTTGGATTCACCAGCTGTCCTGTAGTCTCCTGAGAGTGATTAGAAATGTAGAGTAGTTCTTTGCTAGTCTGACTGAAACACGCTTTGGGTCATAATGTGGTGGTGACTGTGAAACTATTTAACACTAGTTAATAGATGCTGTGTTCGAAAAGTATTTTATTTTGTACATTAAGAACATTTCACTCATATTTGTGACACTATATAACTATATAAGAGACTATACATATAATATGACACTGTGTGTGTGTAACATTTGTATGTCTACTGTGTATATATATATCACATAAAATATATTATCTAAAAATAATACATACCATGTATTTAATTATCCATATACAATATATACCATGTATTTTATTGTATGTGTATACATGTATACATTTGTATGTATATACATATCAAATACATTAACTATATATAGTATATACCATGTATTTTACAGTACAGTATATTTTCTCTTTCTGAGTCCAGAATTAAACATTCCACTTTCCTCCATGAAATGATCACAATAAAGATAACAATGGAAATGCCATTTTCAGAGTAAACCAAATAATGAATTTTTATCTTTATTTTTTTTTTTTTTTTTACTAGGAAAATATACATTAGTGTCCTTTAGATTTATGACCTTTTGCTGTGAGAGTTTAGTTAAAACATTACTTGGCAATCAAGTTTCCTTTAAGGGCTTGATTCTGCACTGTTGAATTCAAAACGAGTTTTCACACTGACCTTAGTGGCAGTAGGAGTAACCCATAACAAAGAGAAAAGCAAGTTCATGAGTAGGGTGATGCAAAGTATTTACAATTAAATTGGAAAATCTCAAGTCTCATTCAGAATCTATTCAACTGAATCTATTTTTTCAACAGATTGTAGCATGATCTTCTATTTTAACAAAATCTTCAGCATTTTTGAAGTTTTGACTTTGATTTTTGAACTTGAATTCTCAAAGGGTTCAGAAAAGCCTGAGTGTCTGAGCTCTTCCACTCCAACCCAGGACCACGGCAAGGCCTCTCCTCAGCTGCTACTCCCGCCAATGGACTGTAAGAGCAGCCACAGTACCTCCGCATCCACTTAAGTTATAGGATCTATATAAATGGAGATCTATGGACCATGCCCATGGCTAATACGGTATTCAGAGGCAGTGCTGATACCTTTTCTGTAGTTCATAGAGAGTAGGTAACCTGTATGGCCACTCAGCTGGTGGAGTCCTCCACAATCCACATGTGGAGCCTAATTGGTTTGGAGGTCCTTTCGCCACCCCGCCACATAAAGATGAATTTCACACAGAGAGAGCCATTTCCCATGAAGGCTGGCAAAATTTTGCAGTGTTTTAAAGCACAATTCTTATTTTGTGAAAAGTCAAATTTTTGAGTCACAAAATGGCCTGGAACAAAACTTATTTTATTTATTTATGTATGTGTGAAATTTTGCAACAGGAAAAGAAGAATTGTTTACCGTCCCCATGAGTTTAGGGAGAATTTATCTAAAGTTAATTACTGTCACTTCAAAATAGTCTTGTTCATGTTCTAAAGTTTCACTGTCATCTAAAATGTGACTCTTCAAAAAATGGCAAGATGAAGTTCTAGATTTATTGTATCTGAAGGCTTTCCAAATGAAGTTTGTTCACTTTGCAGTTAAAATATGGTTTGTCTTTCTAACTGCCAGCTGTGCAAACTCAAGAGGGATTTGAGAACAAAGATTCTTCATGCAGTATTGTGTCCAAGAAACACCCATCGAACCCTACTATCTTCAAATTCTGTCCTTGGTTATTTGTTGCTTTTAAACTGATGGATTCACATTTTGCTCTCAGACCATTGTAAATCCTGAGAGATTCCAGTAGAATCTGCAGAGTTTTTCTAGATTACACCAGATTATGTCCTGTTTGAAAACTCAGTATTTATTATTATTTTATATTTATGGCATTTTCAGGATCTCACAATTACATTTCAGTCATATACAGAGTCATATTTACATATAAATTCCATTTTGTTGGACCGTAGGCCCAATCCTGCATTCCTGTGTGCACTCAAACTCCTATAATAGCAACAAGAGTTTTGGGTATACCAAAATGTGAGTTCAGACCCTATCCACCAAGTTATCTTTTGCTACAAAAATAAGGTCTTGAAGTTTTAAACAGAGAAAGTTTGGCAATATATTATGAATGATGTTCAATGTTTCTGATATTTGTAATACTGTTTTTAATGGACAGGGGGGCTATTCTACAGGATTTCCATTACTGTCTTCAATTACAAGTCCATTTTAGAGTCAAAAGTACAGAGTGTGGTGGCCGAATGGGTAAGTTAAGTTTCTCCCTATTTATGTGAGTTGTATATTTATGAATCTGCACCTTAAATTACGTCAAATCGATAAGAGCTGGGGAAAAAGGGGGAACATCAAAGAAACCAGTTGGTCTAGTTTATGAGCTCTCCTGAGCAGGGTCTGTTGTTTGTTTGTACAGTAGTTAAAACAAGTGGGAACACGCTACTTCTTTAGGCCCTTAGGTACCATGGGTAAAATTATCAAATGTTATCTAAGGAGCTTGGGAATTTAAGTCCCATTTTCAAAAGTGATGTAGGCATTTTGGGACAGAAATCAATGTGTGTTAGGCACCTGGAGCTTTTCAGAATCCCACTAGGTGGCTATCTGAATCTTTAGGCACCTAAATGCCTTTTAAAAATGTAGCCTTTATACATCTAAGTCTCATTCAAAGTCAACAGGACTTAGGATCCTAAGTGCCTAAGTCACAAATGAAAGTAGTGCTTAGGCTCCTAAGTCACTTAGGTGTTTTTGAAATGTTATTCTACAGCAATAGAAATGAGGGGTCAACACTACTAGTGGTCTGTGGGTCAGAGTTTGTGTATGTCTGGAGCAGAGATTCTCAAAGCCATGTATGCTTGCTATGATTGTCATAATACCCAGAAACTACCTTGTTTATTGTAGCATGCTCTCCCCATGCAAGGCTAGTTTTATGCTGATACAAGGGATCCAGAAATGTCAAGCCACCAAATGCAGTTTGATGTGCATAAGTGGATGGGCTGCAAACACAGGTCATCAAAGTGATGAGGAAAAGATCAGAAAATAATAATCAAGACACCACCAGAAAGAACTCTCTCAGCAAGTTACTATTAGAATACAAAGAACTTCAAATATAATATTTCTGGAGGAGGCATAGCCCAGGGGAACCATGTGATTTTCCAGAATAACTTTTGCCTAATATTGACATTTGACCGTAATGTTTATTTACGTGTAATTAACTGCTTTCAAGCTAAAGCACATTGCAAGTATGAGGTTGTCTTAAAAATGAGGTCAACACATATACAAAAGCAGAAAAGTAGGCAGAACAGTAAGATTTTGTTCTTGTTTATGAGGTGTTTTAGAATTTGATTTAGTACATTAACCTTCTCTACCTCATATTAGGGAGCTGTTTCATACAGATTAGATATGTGGAGAATGTATTTTTATGTTCTGATAGCTGTTTGTTGTTGTTCTTTGTTTATTTATTTGGTGGTAGAATGCCTACCTAGATAGCCCTCCTTTTTCTTTTTCATATAAATGTAAAGAATTTTTAATGGTAAATTACTGTATGTCTGTGAAAAGTTTTGATAATACAGCAACCTGAAGTGATATTTGCATGCTACCTACACATAATTTTATACCCTAAAACAAATTTTTGGGCAAAACACTTTGGGAATGTACAATAGTTGGAATCTGCTTTAGAGCATTTTGATGTCAATAACGTTCCATAAAGTGTCACATTGTAAATTAGATCAGGTGATGGTTGATAGATGTAACTGAGGCTCATTACTTTTTTGTTAGTGGTTTGAGGTGGACATTTTGCTTTGTACAGGTGGAGGGGCAGCTTTCTATTTTTCTATTACTACTATTATTTTTCCAGAAGAAAAATAGTTTCCTGATGATAGATTTATTGACATAGAGCTGCAGTATTTATATTTCTGTAGCAAGAGACCTCGAATCTGTACATTCATTATTAAAATAAATTATACTCTACGAAATGACTGATGTAGATTTAATGATGATGTTTGGTGGATGTTGGCACTGAAAAGTGACAGTTATGCACTATATTCTTATTGACCTGCTGCATCTAAATGTCTTAGAGAACATCCCCACCGTGCTCTTAAAACAATCAGTGAAAAGCTGGTCCATAGAGCACAGTTGGCTCCAGCCAGGTATTTCATACAGTGTAGGATCCTTAGGGTGGATCACTGGAGTAGTTGGTTTGCATTCCGTCTGAACGATAGGAGGTCTCACACCTAAAAATGGGTTAAATACGGTGTGTCCATCTTGTATGTTACTCCCACAATGAGGTTATGAAGGGTCTAGTGTTGGTGTGCCAATCAGCCTACTGCAAAGACACGTGGTGAACTGATGAAATTCTTCACTGCTGTGGTGTTGAAGTCACTGAGTATGGACTTCTGGGTTTTAATTCTTGAACATGGCCAAAAAAATACCTTGTTCCACTCTCTTGGCCACTGTAAAGTAGTCAATTGAAAAAATGCAGTTGAGCACCATCAGGGCAGGCCACAAAGTCCTTCTCCCCAGTACAGGTACTCTCAATTTCCTCTCAAGATCACAGTCTGGGGAAACAAACAAACCAACCCTCTCCATCCATTGAACTTTCACCCCCACAAGTTACAATTTAATAATCCTCCCCAAATTTACAAAATCCTCCAATGTTAGTCATAGGGTGGTGGTGCCAGGCAGCTCAATCCATTCTCTCCCCGGCTTAAACCAAACCATGCACATCCTCTGTAACCACTCTGCTTCATAGGTCTCTACCCCTACATGTGGTCTGAACTTTTTGAGGGGCGGAAAGAGGGAATAGAAACTAGTATGTCACCTCTTTATGCATTTAGGGATAGACTCTGCACCCATAGAAGTCAATGGTAACACTCCCATTGTCCTCAGTGGGGCAGGATTGGGCACTTCATGCCTATTTAAAGTAAAAGATTGAAACAGAGAGGTTCAGCAACAGATTGTAGACCTTTGAGAAAAATTTACAGCGTATTTCCCGTATCATTCAGTGCCCAGAAATCTTTCCAACCACAACCTTTACAGAAAAAATGGCATGGGGAGGTGTCTCAGCACCTCTTACAGTTGTCTATTGATTGCACAGTACCTTTATTACGGGTCCCTTCCCCACCCTCCACTTTGCACTGGTAAATATACACACCTAATAAGGCCATAATCTCACAATGGGAAAATGTTAGTCTCTTCATTTTGCCAAATAAAGGTGTTGTTTTTGGTGGGAGGTGAGCTTATAAGACTCTGCTAGATAATGCAGGAGCCTTTCTTTATCACACCATCCTTGTAATTATTCTCTCTGTATTTTTCAGCTAAATAAGACCTTCCAGAACTGGAATTATACCGTGTATGTGGTCAATATCAGGTAAATGTTGGTGATGATTGGGAAAATACCTGATTTAAGTCCTTAGTGGAGTTACAACACATTAATTGATATTTATGATTCTTGCTTTTTAAGTGTTCAGCCAACCACTGTGAATGAACTGACAAGGGAGAAAAGAAGCATCTCTGATCAAAGGTAACATTCTGGGACTTTTTAGTGATAGAGGCAACACATACTATCAAAATTGGGTGTGACATTATTGCATGCTATGGGCCACACCCTTCCATTTGGTAAATGTCATTTATGGCCACCTACTGCCCTGGATCTGCACTCAAGCCTCACATTGGTATGATGTGTATTGTAATTTAAACTACCTTGGATTTAAATCAGGTAGTTCAATGAGCTCCTTAAAACTTGGCTGATCATTTTTCAAAACTTAATTTTTACCTGTCACAAAATGTTGCAGACCTGTCTAACATACATGGGAAGCAATATCCATTCTTCTGTCCCAACACTATCTATCTTAGGGTTTTCCGTAGCACCCATCACTGGTATCTAAGTACTATCTATGGAAAGAGGCATTTTTTTCTCCTCTGCCTCATCTCTAAGGGCCTGATCCAAAGCCTATTGAAGTCCATAGGAGTCTTTCAATTGATTTCAATGGACAATGGATCAAGACCCAGGTGGTAGAAAATCATGCTGGAACTGAATGCCAAGTTGATGCAAATCACACTACTTACCACATGCCCTCACTTCCTGATTTCAGTGGGCTGCTGATTAGGCACTGGGGTTGTGATTTGCAAAGCTAGCCTAAGAAAGTTAGGTGTCTAACTACCATTGAAAGCCTGTGAGAGTTGGGTGCCTAACTTCCATGGGGTCTCTTTGAAAATCTCAATCCAAGCTGTGGGAGGCAAATGAGAAGGATGCTTGTCTTTGGACTGAATCAAGGGCAGGTGGCCAAAACACAGTGGCTGCTGTGGGGTAAAGAGAGACTGCATATGGAGTGCATCTCCTGGCAATGTAGGTAACTGCTTTGCCGTTAAGATGTACATGTGAATTGTTGTGACAGGATAGAGTCTTTTATCCCATGGTAGCCCATTCAGGGATCATTGTCCAGAGCTAGTTTCTGATGCTCTCAGTTCTTGTACACTCTTCCTTACTCTTAGTGACCTGACAACAGCCTGTGACAGATGGATGTTGTCACCACTGAGGGAAGGAATCAAGAGATGCAGAGGGGATGAAAAGCTTTTCCTTCCAGTGTCTCTGTGTCTCTTACCGTAGAAGTGGCTGCCCAGCCTGTCAGCAGCCCTGCTCCTCTAATACAGTTACAGTAGACTCAAGCAGGTTTCAGCCTCACATCCTCCTATTATCAGCCCTAGGACTTTTTTCCTCCCTTTTCTCTATATTCTGGTCTCTAAGAAAAGAAGGGAAAGAGGAAGAAATATCTCTTTCTACTTACAGTGCTGGAAGTCTGTGTGTAAGTGCTCTGTCTGACAAGGTGTTAAGACTTCTGGTCCCAATCCAGCAGAGCATTTCAGCATTATTTAATTTTAAGCATGTGAGCTTTACTTCAGCAGGACTATTCACATACTTAAAATTAAGCATGCCCTTAGAGTGCTTTGCTGGATCAGGCCCAGAGTGCTTAACACCATATAGGGATTGAGCCCTGAGATACCTGTTCAGCTCTGCACATGGCTTTATCAGAAGACTGTCCCCAGACAGGTGGCCTTCAGGAACTGGAGGCAAAATCCCGGGAATCCAAAATAAAGTGCTAAATTAAACTATTAATTTAAAAATAACCCTCATCTTTACTCCAGAGTATCTTGTGATATCTAAAAGTATTGGCTGGGGAGTAAAACCACCCTCTAAATCACTATTTTCGAAATAGGCATGTGCAGTTCTGATGGAGTTTATATTGCTCCTTCAATATCCTTCTCATCCCACTATGTTCACTGTCATGTTGTAAGGAGTTAGCCTAGCTGCTATGCAATTAATCTTGCTGTTATGAATCCTCCTAACATCTAGCAATGTGAATTTATGGGTGCTGTATATGAACACCCCCTTTTCTTGATACTCTATTCAACACATTGCATTTCAGAGGTAATGGGGATTATGTCTAACTCAATACGGTACAATTTTTCAGAATTCAAGGTCTGATCCAAAGACCAAATAAATACAATGGCTTCAATAGACTTTGGGTCAGGCCCAAATAGAATCGAAAGCATTGTCCCTTCATTATGAGGTATTTATTTCAAATACTAATTGTGTTACATATAACAAGAGTCTGTTTCATATACTCTAGGTTGTTGTGTTGCACATGCCGTGCAAAAAAATAAAAGACCTATAAGGCCTATACATCTATAGAAACTGACTGAAATAATTCATCCAAAAATAAAAGACCTATACGTCTGAAGAAACTGACTGAAATAATTAGGATTGCCTGGGTGGAATTAAGGGTGGAATTTAGCTCAATGGGTGTTTTGAGTAGAAATTAAAAACACATGCTGTATCTTTCCAGTGTTTTTTTGTTCGTGGCATGTATTTTCATCTCGTAATGTCACATAGAGTGGAATCCACTGGGAAAGCCCGTATTCTTCCAGTGCCAGCAACAAGTGTGTATACATTTCTCACAATGTACTGTCTTGTCATTGCAAAAGCAGGGGCTTTAGCTTCCCAGTAGTCTCCACTATTCCTGTCTCTAAAGACCTGTCTTTCAAATCCTTGCAGCTTACATATATTAGTACACAGATATTTGCAGTATTGACAAAGAGGAAATCGATTGAATCTCAGGTGAAGACCCAAAAAACCACCTCCCTTGCTACTTCCTCCAGACTGTTGACTTTAAAATGTTTGTTAAAATTTTTCAGTTTCAAGTTTTTCTTGGCCAAGATTCTAATGAAACCAAATAGCATTTAGGGTAAAATTTATAGCTATGAAAAGTTAGCTGGTGACACTTGTAAATCTTTATCCAAAATGGAGGTAATATTTATTTCTTACTTTTAGGATGATCTGGTAGAAGGTCTTAAACTTTCTTTTTTTTATGGATGAGTCTTGCTCTCAATGTGTATTCATAAGGATTTTTTAAATAAATTATTAAAGATTATATTTTCTTGTTTTCCATACTATGGACAGTCATAAATAATGCTGATCTCTTAGTTTCAGGAAGCTCAGTATGTCATCTATCTAATACATTTCTCTTTGCTTTCAAATACTTTTCATTCCATTTTCTCTAAGGTTTTTTCTAAACCCAGACAGGCTCTGAATTTAAAACTTCAGTCCTAGCCCATAAGCATCATAACCTTTGACCTTATCTTCTTATCCTATTTGTCTTTGTCTTTTTAACTCACTCAACATCATCTCTCACCTACTTTTCTCTGACTTTTGCTCAGAATCATGGTCTTGGTTCTTTAATTTGTCTGTCTTAGTATCTATCCTCTTTTTTTGCATTCATCCAATAATTTTTTAATGCTCTAACCTCACTCTCTCTACCCTCACCGTGCATATAAATATTTCATTCAATAGTTTGAACTACTTCCAAACTGCTTCCACTATAGTCATTTTCTGCTGTTTTACTCTAATCTGTTTCCACCCTCATTTGCTATATTTCAGCCATAACTTTTAAAACAGCCTCAGCATAGTACAGTTCTTCATCAGACCTCCTGAAGTGATGGATGCAGAACCCATAGAGACAGAATTACACAGAGAGAAAATGGGAGTGGAGAAGCTGTCATTTTGGGGCATGTTAAAAATAGATATTTTTTTAAAAAGTTATAAACAATTACATTCTGGAGAAGAGAAAAACTAAATAAAAACATGGAAGTGGCTTGTTATTCCTGCATTGCTGGGCTCTATAAACTGAAGCAATCCAAAGTGCACTGTGCTTATGATGTGATAATTCAATGTGATGATGAGAGTCTCATGCAATGCCAAGTCCAAAAGTGAATATTATTATCAGCACCTTGAACACTGTAAAGATCTCTTGATGGCAGCAATGTGACAATATCATGCACTGGTAGATTATTAACTAAAGTAAGAGACAGAATTTTATCACAACAGTACTGTAGTTTTGTGTGTGTTTAATTTTCTCATCTTAGTAGCAGTGTCTCTATCCCAGAAGATGCTGGTTCAAAATAGAGTTGAAAGGACACTCCAGATGGGGTATAAGCACAGTGGTTTGTGAGCATGGTGGTCTTTTTTTGCCTCCATTTTTTTGCCTCCATTAAGGTCAGGCTTGACAAAGCCCTGGCTGGGATGATTTAATTGGGGATTGGTCCTGCTTTGAGCAGGGGGTTGGACTAGATGACCTCCTGAGGTCCCTTCCAACCCTGATATTCTGTGATTCTATGATTTTGTACAAATCATTATCAATAAAGTAAATCTGTGTTCTTTCTGCAGATAAAATTTATGTGGTTTTTTGTTTCTTCCATTGATTCCTTGCCCTTTTTGACACCACAGTAATGCCACACATTTCTTCTGCTGCTGCTGCTGCTTTTCCCAGAAAGATCCTACAGATCCTAGGTGTAGCCATTTGACCAAGGTTGGGTCGTTTGGGTAAGAGAAATGGCTTCCTCAGACCTATTCAGCACCCTTGCTTTCCGTATGCTTTTTTCCAAGCAATTTTGCAAACCTTGAGCCTTGATTCCATATCTGAGCTTTTCTCCACTTACCAGCAAAATAAGAGTGTGCTTGCTCCAACCTCCACTACTTGATTGTCATAATTTTGGCCCATAGTCTGTACTTAATCTCTCCTACTACAGGAAATAGCAGTTCTAACTACGGTTTAACAATTCATCCAAATAAAAACATCAGTCACTGTTAACATGTTTGAAAGATCAATTGCTAAATCTACATAGAAATCTCTTCTCTTAGACATGAAAGAAAAGAAGTTCTACCAGGCCTGATTCTGCCCATTAAAGTCAGTAGGAGTTTTCTATTAATTTCAGTAGGAAGAGAATCAGGCTTCTGATGAGTTCTGGGTGATGTGATGTTTAATGGAATGTTTAATGGGAAGGATTCTTGAGACTAGATAGACTACTGTTTAGAAAGTGCTATGGCTTCAGCCAAGAGTTAGCAGTTTCAGGACCCCCTGTTCTTGTTTTTATTGTTTTTGGTAAATTATCTTTAGTCATTAAAGTGTGTGACAAACTATAAAGTAGGCACATAAGAGTTTATGGAGGAAGCTGGCATAGTGCCCG